GTATTCAGCGCAATTCAAACAAAGGAAACCACCTGGAAAACAAGAAGTTACTGCACTTGGATATTATAAACTTCTTTATTTTGATTTTAGTCTACATGCATGTCTCTCAAATAACTGCCTGTGAAATTTAATTTAATGTTAAGGATTTTTTGCGACGAAATTTTGATTCTCGTACTGTAATTCTGACATTGTTTTGTCGAAACTTAGCCTGTCCTGTCACGGAATATTTTACGATGTTATTTATTCGAGTGAACCGACTTGTAATTCATCGAATCCCAAAATTGAACTTTTTTGATTGATAATACTGTAATAAGAGAGCTCCAATTAAAAAAAATACTTGTCTTAATGATGTAGTGCTTGAGGTTGTGGGAATTTTAAAATTCCCGTAAGAAATAATGAGCTCCATAGGAACCATGATGACCGTTCATTTCCCCCCTGTGTGAAAATTTTGCAGTGCAAAGGGAATGTTCCATCTTATCAATTTCTGCTGAATCATGCCAAAAATGCGGTGTTCTTCAAAATTACGTTTGCAAAATTTGGATGCACAAGGATGTACATAAAACCATCGGTTGCCTTTTCAGTGCCGTTCAAAATCCATCGCAAAGCTGTCCCACGAAAATTGAATAATTTGGAAAGACCAGCATGTGGCAAATAACTATTTGCTTTAAAATTAATCGTCTTGTTTTGAAGCACGTGCACATTTGATTTTTCAGAAAGCTGTTTCACAATTTGTTTTAAAAATGTTTGTGAAAGTATTTCTCGTTGCGTGTTTCGTCTCTGCGTCGGTTCATGCGACCCCAGTTCTTGTAAGTGTTTTTTTTTCATCAATGGATAGTTAGACAATTCAAAATTTCATTCATTCCTCAATTTTTTGAAAACAGAAAAAAGTCGATCAAACTTCATCGAAACCGCCTTCAGTGAAGAACATCTGCGGAGGAATCGGTGAGTTTGGAATTCGGTGCATTCAATTTTTTTCAAAGTCTCTTGAAAATGGTTTGATTTCGTTAGATGTGATTGAATTGGACTCCGACACTGCCCACGGGTTCATCAGTAGCCCTGGGTACCCAGGAACATACCCGGCTTCCATCATTGACCCCGAAGACTGTGGTTCCCAAGTGACAGTCGCAAATAATACCATCGATTCGGTTCTCCTCGGATTCCTTCAATTAAGACTTAGACCCGGGGATTACTTGAGTATCAAGCAAACGTTTTATAATCCGCCTTCGGAACGCACGGAGCAGTGAGTACTTTTTAAAGTATTTTTTTTTACAGTCACAAGGGATAATTCAGAGGCATTCAACAACTTGAAATTAAATTTTTAATTGGTCGAGGTTTATGTGAATAGATACAAATAATTTAAAGCATCCCGCTGTTTATTTGCAAAAAAAAAAAAGTTAAACCTGTAGACATGATTTGGGAAACTTCTTGACCATTGACATTCTCGACCGAATTCCGCATGAGTAGAAAAAAAAATTTCCGAAGTCAAGACCCCCGCCTTTTTTTTTTTTTAATCATGGGAAGGCAATTTTCGAGTCTGGGAAAATTTACTTGAAAAGATTAATGAATAATTAAAAATATTTCGTAGAACTTGAGAGTTTCACTGAATCCATAAAAGACCACACAGTGTTCCGATGAGGCGTGTTTTCAGCACCTGTCTTCTCTTCACGTGAACCAGTATAAGAAAAATTGATGACTTTTTTAGAAAATGCCAAATTATATCGTGAAATCTTCACGTTCATCGAAGAAGAATCTGCGGAAACAGGTCATAACTCATCAAATAAACCTCGCGCACATGGTGAATTATAAAAAAAACTAAATTTTTTTCCTTCAGACTCACTGGTTCCTATGACGTCTTTCTGCCCGATTTG